TACATATAAAATTTAGTACGTCACTTCATTTGACTTATAAGTAACTGCAATGATAAGGACATGTCCTGTGACTGGTAAGATTACGTTTATATATTTTGCTAAAGTTATATTCAGGAAATTCTTCTTGATAATAAACTTTATTTTTAATAATTAAATGTTGTCTATTTTTGTTTATTTTTTGCTTTTTTCAATTAATTCTTCATTTGTTAATTCTTCATTTCTCAATTTAATCTTCCAATTCATATTTCTAAACTCTTCTTTAGAACCATAATAAAAAATAATTTCTGTAGTACGTTCAGAAATTTCATCATCCTATTTTCCTTTGAATTTAATTATAAAATCAATTCTTCTAATAAATTGACCAAAATCACATTGAATGATATCTTCTGATTGATGATTTCCAAAATTATATGCTTCATTGGGAAGTTTTTGTGCTGTCATAATTATATATTTAGAAGTAAAAGGTATAAAACCTTTATATTTTTGTTTAACTGTTTCATTAGTATCATTATATAAAGTAACTAAATCATTCCAATCGATTTTTGTATAGAATTTATCCAAGAGAACAAAATCTTGACCTTCATAACCTATCATAAATTTTAAAATTTATTAAAATTTAATTCTTTACAAATCAAATCTAAATTAATTACTTGCCATTCCATCAATTGTTTTTTTGTTTTTTAGATTTTGAATATAAAATATTTGGATCTCTAAATAATTTACCAAATAAACCAGATTTCCCTGATCCACCAACGCCATAAAAATAAAAAACAATAGAACACCTAAAGTAAAAAAATATTAATAAAATGTAAAAAAAAATTATGATAATTTAATTTTAATCAAAATATAAAAATACCAAAATCTTTCTTTTTCTTTTTGTTTTTCTATTTGTAAATCATTATAAGTTTTGTCATTGCATCATAACTTTTGCAATATGGAATCTTATTTTTATTTTTTCTAAATATTTCAAGTGGTGTTTTTCCATCTTCTAACATTTTATTTCCATCTATTGTTCCTTGAAATTCATCAGCTTTTAACTCATTTATATCTTGTTTTTTCCTCTTAGTATATTTTTTTTCAATTTCTCTAAATTTACCAAATTCAAATGGACCAACAATTTCTTTAGATAAAGTATCTCTACCCCAAGCTGCAACTTTTCGATCACATATTGAATCACATTTATCACATCTGTGATTAATATCAAAAAAATTACATTGACATTCTAAATGTTTTTTACAATGATCATATAATTTTAATATATATGCTCTATTTTAAGTTGAAGTGCTATTTAATTTTTGCTGAAATATTAAAGAATTATCTTCACTAAATATTTGTTTAGCACTTTTAAGAGTTTGTCACTTATCTGGATGAAACTGTATATAAATTTGTACATGTAATTTTTCAGTATTGGTTGGTTCATATTTTTAACCAATATAAGATACATCATTTTTAATTTTATTATAAGCTTCTTGAGTTTTTGGAACAATTCGCTTACATTCAATATTATTTGCTTTACAATAATTATATACAATATCATTACATTTATTTAATAAACAACAATTTGTACAAGTATCAACTAAATAATGCCAATGTTAAACTTGATATAATTTACAAATTAGTATACCAATTTTTTAAACTCGTTTTCATGATTTTTTATATTATTTTTATTTTTATTTTTATTACATTTAAATTTTTTTTAAAAGGTAAACAGTAATAAGTTATAGCAGAAGTATGTAAAAACTCATGATTACCCATTTTGAATTAATTTTTATTTAAGAACAAAAATAACCTTTTATATATTTATTATTTATATTATTACTTTAAAATACATTAATTACGAAAGTTCTTTATTAATTAACAACAATAATTCTTTTTTAGTTTCCTTTTCAAAATTATATTTTAATTCAAATGGTTTAATTTTATAATCCTCTTCACATTTAATAATAAAATTTATATTATTTGAAAAAAATTAGAATAATATTTATATTTAATTGAAACAAAACTTTCAAAATATGCAAAATTAATTTCTTTATACTTATTAAAAAACCGCTTTGTAATTTTTTGATCACCTAACAATTTTGGATATACTTGTTGATTAGATTTTTTTAACCAATTTTTTGTTTTATTATTATAAGTTCCAGAATAATAACAAAAATTATAATCAAATAATTTTTCTCCTAAAAATGATTTTTCTGATCCCATTTTCCCATAGCAAAAAATAAATATTAGTTTTTTTGTAAAATAATATTGACAAATATTTTCAGACCAAATTGTTTCAAATACAATTTTAAAATTTCTTGAAACTAAATGTAATTTAATTTGTTCTTTAAAAGTTAACATTTTAAAAATATTAATATTTGTTTCAAGAGAAATTTAATTCATTTTTAATTAAGATAATTTTTTTTTTCTTTACGAATTTTTATTTTATATTTTAGAAATTCTCAAATTTTATTTATTTTATATTTAATTTTAATATTTACTTTTATAACAATTCTTAAATTAGTTAAATCAAATCTTTATAAAATTTAAATTAACTATTGCATAAATAATATTTTAAATAGATTTTTGATAAAATAATTTAAAAAAATATTATATTTCTATAAGATTCACATTATTATTTTGAAATTGTAGATCTCTGACCTAAAACAAAATTATAATTTGGCTAATGATTAATCTAGATACTTTTAATTCAGGCCAATATCTAAATTTTAGACAGATTATAAAAATCGTAAATAAGAATTATTACTCGAACTGAACTATAAGATAGTTATTGAGAAACTTGTAAAATTGTTTCTCTTAAATTTAATTGTCTATAAAAATATAATGAGAAACTTGTTGAAATTTCTCTCAGCTATAGAATGTCTATAAAAACATAATGAAAAACTAAAGTGATTTGATGAATTCTTGTTTGTTTAATCTCAAATTTCACAGACAAAATCTTATCATAGTTCTTTATCAACGATATTAATGTGCAATAATAGATTTAGAACAAAAAAAAAATTTTGCTATTGAAATAGTCCCTAAAAACGTCTTTATCACAGCTATAATCCCAAATCTAGATGACAAACGAAAAATTTACATCATTTCGTCAATTCTTAAGCAAATGCTCTGAAATTTCACACAGAGATAGCTGAATAGTATACCTAGAAATGCTATTATGATAGTTTTACTTGTTTCATTTCAAGAAATGCCTTCCGCAAATGATTTCTACAAGAGAAAATTAAGAAAAATGTTTACGTTAATTTTTCATTAAAATTGTCATAACTCAACGAGTTTTTGAGATATTAATCTAAAATTTAGATTTGAATAGAGTGAAATATGCTCTAAAAATCTTGTTATAATTATACAATAGGTTTAGACTGTCAGAAGTTTTTCTGCACCTATGTTTTGTTTGAAAACAGCAATTTCATCAAAAAAAAAATCCCATTTATAGGAAAAAAATAGAAAAAATGCTATAACTTCATAAATATCAAAGCTAGAAATCTGAAATTTTAGATAATAATAGATGAACAATATATAAACAAATTCTATTATCATAATGCAGTAGATTTTATTGTGAGAAAGTGCTTTCAAAATTGATTCTTTACAAGAAAAAAAGTAAAAAATTCGTAAATATTTCTTTTTATGAAAATCTAAATATCTCAATGACTTTTTGTCTGTTTTACTTAAAAATTGAGATTCTAATAGTTGAAGTCGTGTTGAACAATCGTTATTAGAAAGGTTTTTCAGGTTTTATTAATAAAAATTTTGTGTAAATTAGTGCTGTAACTTGGGTATTTTCTTTAAACATATAGACAGAATAAAAAATTATAAAATAATTTTTTATTATAAAAAATGCATCAAGAAGGTAACTTTAACAAGGGCAAAAATGGCCAAATGCATCAAGAAAGGTACTGATCAAGGGCAAAATTTAATTAGTAAATGATCTACAAGGGCAAAATTAATTAGAAATGAAAAATACCCTTGTAGATCACTTCAAAATGTAACCTAAAATATAATCTAATTTTGGTTACTTTTTAAAAATGTATCCAAATTTTCGGTTATTTGTATCCTCGAAATGCATCAAAAAAGTAATTTGTACAGACAGATTTTGCCCATCATAATTTTAAGAAGTGACCGATCTATATTAGATAATTATTTAACTGCAAGTGAAAAGCATAATCAGATTTTATTCTTATACTGTCTACTTGCAAAGCAGGTAACATTAGAAAAGACTCTTCAGTCTTTTCTTAACAAAGTGTCTTTATTATATTCTGTTATGTATATCCCTATTCATATGTAAAATTTTGTCTATGATTTTTAGGAGAATTAAAAAAATCAGACCTTTTTAGTTATTAATACCAATTTTATATGGAATAAAAAAATGAAAAATATAAATATCTCTACTATTTTCAGTTCAATTGAGCTAAAATCTCTTCTGATAGTTCTTACTATATATTTTTATTAGTATGTAAAATTTTATTTTTGGTTTTTAGAAGAATAAAAAAAATTAAACATTTTTTGGTTATTTACATCAATTCTTTATAAAAAGAGAAAATGAAAAATATAAATTTCTCTACTATTTCTAGTTCAATTGAGCTAAAATCTCTTCTGATAGTTCTTATAATATGCCTCTATTAGCATGTAAAATTTCATTTTTGATTTTTAGAAAAATTAAAAAAATTGAATGTTTTTTAGTTATTTATATCAATCTTATATAGAAAGATAAAAATGAACAATGTAAATTTCTCTACTATTTTTGATTTAATTAAGCTAAAATCTCTTCTGACAGTTCTTACTATATATTTCTATTAGGTTATACAAACTTAATAAATTAGTTTTTATAATTGTCTGAGTCAAATTTTACAAAACTTTAAAAAATTTTTAAGTATATTTACTATCTGAATAGGTTTTTCTAAAAAATTTATAAAAAATTTTATATGTTTTTTATATATAAAATTGTTTAAAAATAAAATTAAAAGCTAGATCACTAGGTTACTTTCAAAAATTTTATATTATAAGAACTAATTTATTAAGTTAGTATGATTTTAGTATGTAAAATTTTATTTTTGGTTTCTAGAAGAATTAAAAAATCAGACATTTTTTAGACTAACTCACAAAATGTAGTATATTTAACAATATAAACAATAGCACAAAAATTTGTTTAATATTTTCAAATTGTTAAAAATTATTTACTAGTAAGTAATCTATATCTATCAGCAAGTAATCCATGCCTGTTTAATTAAAAATCACTATTTCTTAATACACAATCTGAAATAATGGATTCTGATTAGCTAGCTAAAAATAACTCAGATATTAATTAGCTAAAAAATCAATTCTTAGCAAGAAATCCATGCCTATTATAAACTAACTAAGTAGTATATAGATCATATGTTTTTTGTTTATCAAAGTTTATCAAATTTTTTTACTATACAGGGAGGTTAATTTAATAGGATCATATAACACTATATATGACTCTAATAACTTAATATTATTAATATTGTTTATATAAATAGTTATTATATAAGAACAAAAGACTACATACTATTTTCTTTGTAAACTGTAATTTACCTGCTTATTGTAAATCTTACAAAATTTGTTTTCAAATATTCTTGTAAATTTTATAAATTTTCATTATTAACAGATTATAAAACTGTATTATAATTCTATTTATTTGTAATTAATGTTAGGATAAATTAAAATACTTATTATGTTACATTTAGAAATATTAAACTATACATAAACCTTTCATGATCTATAGAATTTAATAATAATATTTGGATGGTAATCAACTTTTCGTAAAAGTTTAGGAATAAATTTCAGATTATTGCAAAAAAATAACTACAGTATTTATATGAGAAAGTAATATAAATTCTAATCTAATTAAAAAAATTTAAATAAATAAATTCTAATATAATAAATACCTTATTAATAAAATTTTTAATAATTTTTTTTGTCTAAATCCAAATCATTATCACAACCGATAAATCATTAGCATAGCAATAACTCATATTTTTATGGAATATCACGAGCAATAACATTTATGTGATTGGCTAATTTATATAGATCTATGCGTGACTATTAACCAATCAAATCAATTAAAATTTTTTCGATTCGCGAAATGAAGTGAAATAAATTTATTATTAACAAAAAGCAAAGTTTTTTTTAAATCCAAAATTTTCTAATCCATCTTTTAACTATTATACTTTACTAAAAACATATTGTCATGTGTTACTATCCTT